ATCTTTCTCTCACAATTAAACCTACAATATTTAAACATATAATCATAAACTCATGCATATTTTCATAATCCCAATACAACACCTTAATTACACATCCCACATTGCCAATAAAGTAAACCCATGCCCCTAAATCAACCTATAAATACCCGATCAAACCATCATTTTCAAATAATCCCTCGATCTCTCAACAAACTCTTCAACTATGAAGTGTGCAGTCAGCAACAACATGAATGTCTAACATCTTGTGATCATCCCGGTAATTGTCTTATTGTACTAAAAACTTTTGTTATATTTTTGTTGGCTAAACCATGGACCATGCCTAAACTTTGTTATTTTTACTACTTTATGCATGCAATTTTTTCAATATTAACAGAACACATACTTTGCTGAGCCCACCTAGATTAGAATTTAACATGGTTTGTAGCCAAACCATGGACCATGCCTAAAGTCCGTCATGTGCATATTAATGCTTGATCATGTCTATGTCATATTTGTTAAAAATAGGGAATATAATAGCTTTGTTCAAATATTTTGTTCATGCACGATACCGGAGGTGGTTATTTTTGCTATTCGACAAACCTTTCTCAAAGTATGCGGATTTGCATACTCATTTCTGTTTAAACTTTTATATTCTTCTTTAGTTTTGATTGGCTTGGAATTTGAATCGTGATTGTTAATGATTTGTCCATCACATAATATAATTGCAAATCTGTGGTGATTCAAGAGCCAAATCATTAACAATTGCACAACTGTGGGGATTCAAAAGTCATGGCTTTAATTATCAGATGATTCGAAAGTGAATCTAACTTTTTTCTCATTATTTCTTGAAATCACTCAATATGGGAAAGTGAATCTGCAAGAATTGAGGAGGTTCGGAGCATCGTTATACAGTGGAATATGCAGAGTCTTTGGTGTTCTTGCAATTAGTGTCGAAATCTATGACATTCTCCCCTTTAGCCTCTTACATCTTCTAGACTTAATACCTTTTTTTTAGATTGTGAGACAAACACACGGTTGATACTATATGGTTCGAAAGTTCGAATCCGGTAGTCTTCAAGTTAGGGTAGCTTTCCTTTCTAAAAAATAAAAAAGGAAAAAATATAAGAAAGTCTAGAAGTTTATACTTATTTTCTCATTAACATGGTTGGTACGAGCATGGTTCGAAAAAATTGTGTTGATCCAAAAAATTGTTTTTAAAACTTTTTATGATATTTATTTATCATTAGTTTGTAAAATCATATTTGATGTGTTACATATCTATGAATTTAAGAAATAGATAAAAACAATGTTGTTGTGTCAACCCAACTTATTTTTACCGGCAACGTTTTGTAAAACTTTTATGATTCTAGCTTCTTACATTTTGTTTAATGAGAAAAGTATGAACTTCTAGACTAATACATTTTGTAAACCTTTAGGGTTATGAACTTCTAGACTTCAATACATTTTGTAAACCTTTAGGGTTTGAATCAGACACCTTGTATTTTTTTTTTCTTGTCTAGATGATAAAAAAGTCTAGAAGATCTTATACTTTTTTTTTGTCTTTATTTTTTTTGTTTAGAAGATAAAAAGTCTAAAAGATCTTATTCTTTTTTTTTTTTTATTAAGACTGAAGTGTAGATGTCTAGAATTGATTACATGGAATCTAGTATGGTTGTACACTGAATGACTATCTGGTTGACTTTTAAATTGACTCTTCTATGATCTCGACATATTAAGAACACCAATGACAGGATGTCCGTTCCATTACATTGCACCCAATTAACTCAATTCTTGCATATTCATCTTCTCGTTTTGGTTGATTTTGGGAAAGAAATCAAAGACAAACTAGTTTTGTAAACTGCCTTTTAGCATAAACAATGACGAAAATAAATCGATAAAACTGCAAAAGTGATCCTTATGGTTTGTTGAAAATTAAAAGTTATGGAATAGTACCATCAATCCAAAAATTTCATTTTGTTGTGAGTTTTGTCGAATTTGCTTTAAACATTTTTATAATGTCGATTTTGCATTTATTTTTTACTTTATTTTTTGTTTTTTTTATTTATCTAATTAAAATAGAAATAAAAAAATATCAAACACCACAAACACTGTAGCCAATCATCACCTCTACTGTCGATCACCACAACGGACAACAGCTTCGGCCAAACAAAATATTTTTAGATTTGAAAAACAAAACACTCATTTTTTCAGATCTGCAATCTCGAACATGAACAATGAGTTTTTCTACAACTTAATTTTTTTTTTCTAAATCACTCAAACTGGAACAAGAACACTCAAGAACAAGATATTTCTACAAACTTGATTTTTTTAGATCTCAATAACAAGAATACATTATTCCAAACTTGCAAAATCGAAAACATTAGAATCCTTTGCTTTTCTAGACATACACATGATTATCATTTTCTGAAACTGAGTTTTCAAGATCTGCAAAATTACAGATCTGGAATGTCACCACGAACAACAATCGGATGTTGGAGTAGCTAGAGTCGGAGTTGCCACAAATGCGGAGTCGTTTCTGTATGGATGTGACAACGACCATTTAACAAACCCTAAATAGTCACCATGGACAACTCCAAATCTCTACTGCCAAGCTCTTTCGATTTTCAGATCCGTCTTAGACCAACCCTTCTTCTTCTCTGCTTCAATTGTTAAAGTTGCTGCCGACTAGGATCTTTGACGCAGGTGGTGTTGAAAACCCTTGGGAGTTTTGATGCCTCCGATCCGTTAAAGGGAGGTCTAGTGACTAGGATTTTTCGATGAGAAGGGAGGTCCTTCGATCTGTTTGTGGTAAGTCACTAATCTATGAAGAATCTCACTTTGTCTCTCTCTTTTTTCGGTGAGTGATGCCTCCGATCTGTGAATGGTGGTTCGTCGTATGGTAGAGTTGATCGGAACAACCATGTGAACGAGATGAATGGTTTATGTTTCCGATGAGAAATGAACTTACCCCCAAAAAAGAAGTTTGGTCTGTGTGTGTGTGTGTGTCTGAGAGAGAGAGAGGTATTTGATTTTTGTTTTATTTTTAATTATTGTAATAAAAGAAAAATGTAAAATAAAATGATAAGGGGAAAATCCATCATTATAACAAGTTTCAAAATTTTTGGATCAAGCGTGCAACAAAATGAAAATTTGGACCGATGGCTAGTCCAAACCTTTTTAGATCAAAGTGTCAATTTTTAGCTAACCAAAATATATATATATATATATATATATATATATATATATATATATATATATATATATATATATATATATATATATATATATATATATATAACAAACTATTTAGTAAAATCAATATTATTATTGTTATTGTTATTATTATTTCTTATTTTGTTGCCAGAAATACCCTTGAAACCATTGAAATAATTGGTAAATCTCGTGTCATCCATTACTTTTATTTTTCATTAAATTGTTGAATTTATAGGGAAAAAATAAAAAATATTTTATTTTATTGTTAATTACTTTTTTTTTTATTAAATTCCAGATTTGACATATTATATGAACCGGTCCGGTCCTAATTTTTGGTTATTTTACATAACCAAATAATCTCAATGCACTTTCAAGATGACACTCTGTAATAAGGAAAAAAATATATCAGTAACAATCTAAATCCATAAAGCATAAACAGTTAAACACCCATGCATAAGTCCATAAGGCATAAACAGTTAAACACCAATGCATAAATGTGGGTTCAAGGGCCAAAGATCCAATACTTTTCCAAAGCTAAGGAGTCCAAAACGTGAAAGACCTACTAGTTTAAAATTTATTTCCTTGCTTTCATTTTGGATATTTTCAAGGAGCAAAATTTTTATGATCAAAGATGAAAACAAAAATCAGAGTAAAAAGCCTATGGCAAGTAATGTACTTTTTATTTATTATTGGCTTTTATGCAATGTCTAAATTGATTTTTACAGGGCTAATTAAAAAACATATAAAAAAGTACTGTATCACAACAAATGTGTTTTTTTATTTACTATTCAATTTCCAGGTCCGCTTCCTGTTTTTGAACATGGTTTAGATGCACTGAATCGGTCTTAGAACCGTTACCGAAAATTACTAGAATTTTATAAGTTAAGATGATCTTTCTTGTCATTTTGTGGTGTCACAAGTGGAATTTCAGCATTTGAAATAAAAATGATCTATACCCTTTTAGTATAAAATTCATAATATATAAGCAAAGCTGTTAAACATGTTTGAATCGATATTTTAAGGGAAATCAAACTACTTTGACAACTTCGACTCTTATAGAATTAGAAAAACCCTTTAATAAAGTAAAACTTAGTTTCCTACTTTTTCAACACACTTTTTTAATTAAAAAGCCACTGGTGTAACAAATGACATCAAACTCTTCCAAAGGAAATTAAGGTATTAAATTGGAAATGAGCTCCTTCTTTCCTTGAGTTTCTTATTACGTCTGAATAAGTGATTTTATTTTAGAGTTTGCTTTTCGATTATTGTTGTAAATGCTTTACAACTAAACATTGCAAGTTGATGATAACTAGTTAAGTTGCAATGATCAATGATCAGATTATTATATGAATAACAAATTTAGAAAGATTAGGAGACCAAGAAGATGGTAACATGATAAATTGTCCTATACAAAAGAGGGTCCATGAGAGGACATTTACTTTACTGACAACTAATGTTTAATTTGAACCATTTCAATTCTGACCAATTTATCAAAATTAATGATATTCCAGACTTGCAGAGAGTGCATATATGAGTTTCATACCAAACTAGATAGGACCTAAAGTTTATTACATATATTGAATGCAAATGAGGAAATATTAATGTTAAAGATTTGAAAGGTTTTACTTCTTTATTATATCCCATAATATACCTAGTACAAAACAATACATCTTGCAACTTAGTTATGGTGTAATTATATATATATATATATATATATATATATATATATATATATATATATATATATATATATATATATATATATATATATATAGACCACTTTAGACGTGTATATGATTCTTAATTATTCATTCAAACTTGAATGAAAACGGTGTCCGAACCGAGTATTGACCCGAAACCCAAGTCATATGGCCTTGGCTGTAAGGACCATTCACCTCAGCCGTAGCATCTCGAGAAAAGGTTATACTGTACGTCACCTTCTGCTGCACTGCTGTGAAGCTGAGCTCATGTACTTGAGAAAGACCGAATCCAGTGTCAGTGCCAGTGCTGACCACAAGTTTTACACCGTGTGGCACATGAATTTCCCCGACGGTGTAAGTTGAGTTTGACATACCAACATTAGTCACCGTCCTTGAGTATGTTTTGCTGTCACCTCTTTTTAGTGAAACCGCAAAAGAAGGATAGTTGAGTTGTGCCTCCGGGATGGTTTTTGAGCATGAGACTTTCTTATTTGTGATCAACTCGATTTGTTTTTGAGTATAGCCTAACCCACACAGATACGGAATGTAATCGCTAGGTTGGATGTCAAAGACTAACCCTGGATCGTTGGATTTAGATGGGTTCACGTGACCCGAGCCAATGCCAAACACATCTGTAGGAAGCAGTCTTGGGTCACTTTGGTCTACAATCGCGTGGTTGTTTAGGCTGACTTGACTCGCGGTTGTCATTATTGCAGACTTGATAGCAGCAGGAGACCAATCCGGGTGTTCTCTTTTCATAAGTGCTGCTACCCCCGCTAGATGAGGACAAGACATGGACGTGCCGTATGTGACGTGGAAGTGCGCCTTGTTTCTTGTATTGTTATCATCTGACTTGGACCAAGCTGCAAGAATGTTAACCCCGGGTCCAGTAATATCTGGTTTCAGGATTCCAGGACTTGCAGAGTTAGGCCCTCTCGAGGAGAAAGAAGCCAGCTCAGGAGCCGTATTTATGCCGAGTACAGTTCCATGAAAAAGGATAGTGGCTACAGGGGAAGAAGTCGAATTTAAATACTTTTTTATCTCAATTCCTTCCCCGTAACCCACATCCGATGCTGGAAGAACATGAGCCTCTGCTATTGTTGTCTCGCCGAAATGTTTATCATTAGCAAGTATCACGGCAGCTCCTCCTGCTGCCTTTACATGTTCGCTCGTACACCTTCTCGAACCATCACAAAATACAACTTTCCCCTTCACATCAACAAGTTTGCCATCTTTTCCAGGGTAAACAAGAGGTCGGAACTTATGGTTGAAATTCTTGGGTTGGTATAACGACTCTCCATCGTATGACTTGTTGTTTCCAAGATAAACTGTCGTCCTTATTCTCCTGTCAATCGTACTAGCCGCAACGGTAAGTACCCATGGCGCTTCATTGGATAATGTTGAATTATAAGGCCCGGAATTACCAGCGGAACAACTCACAAAGATCCCTTTCTGCATGGCAGCAAAGGAGGCGATAACAATAATATCTTCGTAGAATTGGCTGGAAGGTCCACCAAGTGAAACTGAAAGCACATCAACACCGTCTTCGATAGCTGCATCCATACCTGCTGCAATGGCACTCCCGGTACAAATTCCATAAACTCCCCCACACACTCTATACACGGCCAAGTGTGCCAGTGGTGCTATTCCAGTGGCAGTGCCATTGGCATTTCCCAATACGTTTGCGTTCTGTACGGGACTCCCTGCAGCAGTACTTGAAGTGTGTGTTCCATGGCCATCCTCATCAACCGGAGTAGTAGCTCCCGGAATAAAGCTCCTCATTCCGATCAGCTTCTTATTGCACCCTGCCACTTCACATTTGCCTTTCCATCTGGCCGGTGGACGTGGCATGCCTTTATCGTGAAATGAAGGATGCCCAGGAGTAGTTCCGCTGTCTAGAACCCCAATTATAATTCCCTTCCCATACTTTGAAGACATCCAAAACCCCGAATTTTGGTGCAACCCTAAAAAATGTGGGGAACGAGTTGTATGCAACTGAAACATACTCTCGGACCTTATAGATAAAACTTCCGTCATATTCTCCATCGCCTTTGCTTGTTGCGCCGACATTTTTGCAGCAAATCCAGTAATCACGTGGTGGTACATATGAATCATGATTGGTTTCTCATTTGAGACTGAAACAACAGTTTCAGAGAAGAGAAGTGACTTGTACCACTCTTCAAGGTCTCGTGGCTGTGAAAACTCTTGGCCTTGGGGTGAAGTTAATTGAACAATGTAGGTTTCGAGTTCAATATCATCGGCCTTGCATGTAGGAGGGATTTGGAAAATGGTGGTGCAAGTGATGAGAACCAACACATAAGCAATAATTGACGACATTTCTTATCGTTTGCTAGAAATGATTTGTAAAAGAGTTTGAGTATGTTTCTTTTTCGTTGTAAAAATGTATATATAGACTATAGAGCATCGAGGGGTGCATCATGCATGTGGGAGTAGAGTTTCATCGCACTTCAAGTGAGCACCTATTGAAAGTGACACTTTATTTGAATTTTGTTAAGAAATAATTGGTTTCTAACAACTTAATTATAATGATTAAATGACAAACTGAAATAGCCTAAACACTCTACTGCCTATAGATAGAAAAATACGACTTAGCTAAGAAGGTTATTTATTTATTTATCTATTTATTTATTTTTTGCAAGAATGAGGTTGTTTCCCATTTTCTTTGCAAAACTGGGGTTAGTTTATCCTTTTTTGTAAAAATGGGCCTTTGATCCCACCAAAGCAACAAAACGGTTACAATATTTTTCATAAAAGCCCTTTCAAATTTCAAGAATCACACATTTAACTTATATAATGTAATATATTCATACTGTTTGTATTTTAAAAATATTTTTTTTATCATATTCTTTGACATATGAGCTAATTTATTTTATATTAATAAATTTTGTATATAACTTTGAACAATTTGTACCATCAAGAGTCTTGAACACATGCACTATGCAGTGTATGCCATGACTAGTGTTTTTAGATGGTGGGGAATTTTAATCCGTTGTTGTTCTGTGTCTAATCTTTCACTAATTGATCAATATTCTGTCGTTATTTTGTTGTTACTCTGTCATTAATTTGTCAATATTCGTCGTTAGTCTGTCCCTATTAGTTGCTAATTCGAAATTCTAGGGGCTCATTTTTTTTTTCCGTAGAGGGCCTTCAAAATCAACGCTCCAATATATCATTAAAAATATATTATTAATATCTTCAAATTGATACCATTAAGGATGTTCGTCAAACCTTACCACGTAACTTATGTAGTTTAGACGACGAAATAAACTACAACTTTTTTGTTTTACATTTATGTATATAATCATGTTAGGGTTTTCAAATTATATGAGATTTCATGTTTCCTAAACCAAAAGTATTTACTTTCATAATGATTTGTTTTGAACAACCATAAAATGTAAAGAATCTTATTAGATAATTAGTATTAATTATATTTAAATGTTTGTGTTGTATTTATCTTGTATTTGTTACTCTTTTATCATATAAGATTTGTTTGTATTATTCTCGTATAAATACAACTCTCACACACATAACTAATGTGTGGTTGATTCAATCTTAGTTTATATGGTATCAATCTAAACTTTCCTCCTTCATTATTTCCTAAACCCTAAACTTCTACCGATCTTATTCTCTTCTTCCTGGGATCTATTCATGGCGAGGTCTACAAATAACACTTTCACTATGAACATGTTGTTGCATATGATACCAATTAAACTCTCTCCTATCAACAACTCAATGCCCATATTGATGGCTCCTCTAAAGCCCCACCTACAGAGATTAAGGTTGAAAACAAACTCACTCCGAATCCTGCTTATGCTACCTGGTTTAATCCCGACCAACGATCTGTTATCCTTCTTAATTCCTCTCTGACGGAAGAAGCAGCTTTTGAAGTACTTGGATTATCGACTGCTCATTCTATATGGCTCGCACTTGAAGCTGCATATAGCAGTTCCTCAGTTGAACGCATTCATTCTCTGCGTGATAACCTTCATAACATCACTAAAGGTTCATCTTCTGTCCCTGAATATAGTCGAAAATTCAAGGTTATTTGTGATTAACTTTCTGCTATTGCTCAACTCTTTGAGGCTATTGATAAGCTATATTGGTATTTATGTGGTTTGGGTTCCCCTTTTGAAACGTTTTCCACTGCTATTCGTACCATCAAACCTCCTCCTGTTTTTCATGATCTTGTTGCTCAGGCTGAAGCCCATGAGATTTTTCTTCAGCCATTACATGGTTCTTCCACACCACCTGTTGCTTTTTTTTTTCTCAGAACTCACGTTTCAACAACAACAATAATAACCAGGGTGGTGGTTAAACTCAGTCTCGTGGTGGTTATCATGGTGCCTCTAATAGTGGATGAGGCCGTAGTGGTCGTCGACCTTCCCACTGTCAATTATGTAGGACAAACGGGCATTATGCCTCATCATGTCCGAACCTGTCCACTTATGCCTCAAACTCTATCACTTCTGGTTCCAATCTAGCATAAGCTTTTTAATCTCAGTGCCATGTAACTCAAGGTCATCCTGATTGGTATGTTGATTTGATTGCTACTGCACACATGACTTCATCACAAGACAATGTTTCTCAACCGGCTCCTTACTCGGGTAATTACATGTTACCTTTGGAAATGGTGCTAAAATACCTATTTCTCATATGTGTAGTTCTATAATATCTAAGGAACTTTTATTACGTGGTGTTTTGGTCATTCCTAATTTAACCAAAAACCTCCTCTCTATCAACGAACTTACATTAGACCATTCTGTTGATGTTCTTTTTTCTCAATAACCATTTTTCTACATTCAGGACAGGGAAAACAAACAAGTGATAGCATAAGTATGGGGTGAAGATGGACTATATGTTCTATGTGATGGATTCACAACTTTGGTTTTGTCTTCTGGAGCTTTTACCAAGGCCTATTTCAAGTTGTGGCATCATCGTTTAGGACACACATCTTTTGATATTATTTATGTTTTGAACAAATTAGGATATTTGCAGGCTACTTCTATTTTACCTAAATCTATTATGTGTGAACCATGTCAACTTTCTAAAGGACAAAAATTACCATTTGATTTGAATCCTAAGCGTGCTTTATATCCTTTAGATTTAATTCATTGTGATTTATGGGGGCATGCACCCATTGCTTCTGATGGTTATCTATATTATGTTGTTTTTATTGATGATCATTCACGCTTCACATGGTTTTATCCTTTAAAAACAAAAAACAGTTTTTATTCAGTTTTGACAGACTTTATTATGCTTGTTAAAACTCAACTTTCCTAGAAAATCAAAGTGTTTCAAAGTGATGGAGGCACATAATTTATCAATTATACTATTCGTAAAATATTTGAAGAAAATGGCACTTTCCATGAAGTCTCTTGCCCTTACACTCCATAACAAAATGGACGTGCAGAATGGAAGCATAGGCACATTGTTGAAACGGGATTAGCTATGCTTTTCCACTCTTATGTTCCTGCCTCACACCGGGTCGACGCATTTATCTCGGCCACCTACATATTTAATCAATTACCTAGCAAGGTGCTTGATGATTATTCTCCTTTTGAGCTTCTTTAATAACAAATACCTCAATATAGCAATTTTCGTATGTTTAGCTGCCAAGTTTATCCCTAATCTACATGACTACTCTACTCATAAGCTTGCCCCAAGAAGTATCCCTTGTATCTTCATTGGGTATAATGCCCAATACAAGGGATATAAGTGTCTCGATCCCAACACCTCTTAGATATATATGGATATATATTACAAGGCATGCTAGATTTAATGAACTTTCTTTTACTTTTTCTGGTTCCTCTAATTAACAATCGCTTGACAACTTAGAGTTGTACTCTTTTCTTGATGATGGGTCACCTGCCCAGCACGCTACTTCCTTGAGTCAACACGCTACGCCTAAGCTCAGATCATCCACTTCCATATGTAATCTGTGTAATCCTGGCCCGGTATCACTTGAACCACCATCTTCGACTTCTACTATTGTTCCTGCTAACTCGGTACAATGAACCATCATCTCCTGACCCGGTATCACTTGAACCGGCGGCTCCTACACCTTCTCCGTCGGCGGTTTTCGATCCTCCCTTAGTTGAACCTATATCATCTCACCCCATTGTGACCCATTCAAAAGCAATAATATTCAAGAAAAAACACTTTGTTGATCTTGCGTCTCTCACATCTCATGCCTTACATGTCTCACTTTTTTCGTCCACTAAACCTAAGCCTTTTAAATCTGTTGCTAAAAACCCACAATGGATGCTTGAAATGCAAGATGAAATGGAGGCATTACGACACAACATCACCTGGACCCTTGTTCCTCATCCATCTTCCTCAAATGTTGTTGGCTCAAAATGGGTTTATCAGATGGAATTTAATTCTGATGGGTCAATAGAATGATTTACATAATGCTTAGTTGCTCAAGGATACACACAAATTCCTGGTCTTGATTATTCTCATACTTTTAGTCCTGTTGTTATGGCCTTAATGGCTCACATCGTTCTTTCTCTCTCAGTCTTAAATAATTGGAGTTTACATTAACTTGAAGTTAAAAACGCTTTTCTTCATGGCACGCTCAACAAGACTGTTTTCATGGAACAACCTCCAATATTTATCAATCCAAATTTCCCTAATCTCATTTGCAAACTTTCTAAGCTTTGTACGGGCTTAAACAAGCTCCTAGAGTGAAACGACCCAAAAATACGACCCAAAAAAAAAATTCGTTTTTCAATATAACCAAAACCATAATCTGAGTGTCATATCATAAAACCATACGTGATGTATCCCAAACATAATAAAAACACCGTGCGAAAAACTGTATCATACTATGTCAAATCAAAACAAACTAAATCAATTCCCAGGATAAAAGCTAAAGTTGTGGTGTGTGCGATGCTATCACCCCGAGCTCTTCCCCCTGCTTGCGGAAGTACCTGAAACCAAAACTGAAACTGTAAGCACGAAGCTTAGTGAGCTTCCCCAAACTACCACATACCATACAATATATAAATAAGCACATACTGGGCTTGCCCACTGCATCAGACCGAAGTCTGGAACTAGCTGCATCGGACCGAAGTCCGGAACTGACTGAGACCTTGTCCCCTGCATCGGACCAGAGTCCGAAACTAACTGCATCGGGTTGAAATCCGGAACTAACTGCATCGAGCCGAAGTCCGGAACTGACTGCATCGGACCGAAATCCGGAACTGACTGCATCGGACCGAAGTCCGGAACTGACCGATCATGGCATAGCATAAAACATAACACTATCATAATCACATATACTGCATACTGCATCGAAACAAAGTCCGGAACAC